ATATATATATATATATATATATATATATATATATATATATATATATATATACCTCTTCAGATATAAAAAGGTATTTTTTTTTAATTTGTGAACAGTTATAATATTATTTTCAATATAACACTCTACTGCTATTACAAGAATGTATTTGCAATCAGTCTAGAAAATAAAAATATTTATACTGAAAATACAGGAGAGATTTCACACACACACATACACACACATACACACACACACTTCAATTTATAGGAAAGGTCTTTATATATACAAGATATATTTCAATTTTAAATGTCAATTGTTTTTGAAGTGTATTCTCATCGAATGTTAAAAAAATTAATATAAATATGAGTCGAAATCATTTAATTCCTGAGGTAGAAGAAATTTTATTTAACAATATTAATAATAAATAAGCAATCTATCAAAACAAGCGCAATTAAATAAAGAGATTTAAATAAAGAAGAATCAAAGAAAACCAAAATAAATACGAGACAGAATTTTTTGTTACAAAAATTGTTCAATATGATCTTTTGTTTCTTACTTTTCTTTTTAATGTTTACTTAAAATTAAAATACACTTTGTACATATATATAAGAAAGTACTTCCTATTGTGCAAGTACTTGCAGAATGCTTTCAAATACTTGTAATTTCCTATAATTTACAACATCAAGGGAATACGTTAGAAAGTTTTTTTTTACATGGATCGGTATACTCTATCAAAATATGTTTTAGTAATGAAGAAAAAGCACGCGCTGCGTTTCTTTGTTTGGTATGGAAGATTGAAGGAAAAGTTAGCTACTCTCGCGCGGCGCGCGCGAACATCGTCAAGATTGCGTGTTCTCATAACTCTATAATGCATTCTGGCGCATGATGTTCCTAATGCACGCTCTCATCTTATATCTATACGTACACAACCCGCGAATCTCTGTTAAACTACACTACATTTATCTTTGTCAATTCTCTAGTATCATATCTTACCTCTGAATTATGTTTCTTCTCACTTGTGTTGAGTGTACTTAAGCAATGTACTTTATCAAATATATTAGTTTTTTTTGTAAAAAAAAAGTTTGCTCTGTAATCAATCGACCGCTCGGTGCATTAAAATTGTTATTTAGATCGTTGCTGCTCCGACTGCACAAAGTTTTGAATCACATTTTTATACGATAAATACGAGAAGCATGCACATGCAAATGTCTCGCACATAGATCATTCCTTATATTTGTAGGGTATGTGAATTATTACATGTGTAGAATGCGTTCTCTCTCGCAGTGGCATTTACACACACACACACACACATATCTCATATACATGAAAATTTAATATCGTATTTTGAATAGATATCATAATACGCTATGTGACGTGAGATTTACCGCAAAGTGTGAAATTACATCAGTAATATGTGTGAGTACTACCTCACTTCTGAAAATCTAAGGATACCATGCATAATGTTGGAACTCGAAGAATTACATCGTATCATATTACAGTTTTGTTGCGAATCGCACGCGCACACAGTTTAGCGAACTGTATAATGTGTTTTTTATCTTTTTCTTTACACAATCGAAAACGCTCAAGATTTTGTCTCCGTAACGTGAGTGTGTTGCGGAACAAGAAGCAATATTCGTTAATAGACACTCTTTAATTGGTAGCAGCCAATTGCAGTCGATTCTCTGTTAAGTATCGGTACGTCATGCCTCGGTTTCCTTCTGTTCGGTCCGATTATCACGCTCGACGATAACCCTTCAACCTCTGACACGGCTCTGGCACGCAGTATGTGCAGCCTTTTTGTTTCTTTCTTAGACGAGAAACAACGAGAATTTCAGATGTCTCACCACTTATTCTCCTCATCGTGTGTGTCTGCAACGTTAAACTCAAAAAGCTGAATTTATTTTCTACACCGCGCTTTAACTTGTGTGTAGAGTTTTAGAAACGCACCCCGCGTGTGTGCGAAAGAAAATTCACTTAACGCTCAATTTGGACAAACGTGAAACTGTAGTGGTATTCACTCGAATCAAACTCAGGAAGTAAAAAGATATGCAAACGCTAAACGTGATGAGGATTTATCGCTCGGGATTAGGCCGAATACTTATCTGGGATGAAAGACGGACGGTAACAAAAGAATAAAGAGAGAAGAGGATTAAAATGTCCACTAGAAATACTTGTCTTGTCATTCACATTTCTTAATCGACTTCGAAATCAATTCTACACACACACACACGTCTTCATTACAATAATTACTATTTATAGAAGTTATAGAATAAACGAGATTTATATTGAAGAAACATCGTAAATACCCACATAAAGAAATGTCATTGGAACCCAAGATTAGTCGTGCAACAAATAACAAAAGTAATAATCAAAGAGAATACTATCGCTTCTTAACACATTCATCCCGTGTCAACGGAGATATAATTGTTTCAAGAGTGAAAATATCACCCGAGAGAAGAACGAGTGTCTTAGTAAGCGGTCTATTTTTTTTGTAGTTAATATTCAAGATCAATTATATGCTCATTCAATATTTTTGTACAAAAATTAAATATTTGCGTATGTATGGGCGTTGCTCATCCGGCCTCACCGTTGATAATAACACAATATACGATACCTACAGGTGTCAAAAAAGCTTAAGTGAGCAAACACAGTATAAAATTCCTACGGTTCGGATGGTCTGCGCCACGAAGACTTATGTGTTACAATTTGAAGTAAATTTACGAATAAATCGTAAAATCGTAGCTCACCGGATAATCATAAGAGAATGTGTTTTATGAAAATCGCAATTCTGTTTCAACAACTACATATAATCTGTATATCCGTGTACACATATCGCTCGCATATACGTACATTGTTGCGATATTCAAAATTACGGTGAATGACCAACAGTCCATACATATTGAGCTGTTATAGATAGCACGTACATACATACCGTATATATGTGGATTACGCAAAAAAAAAACGCATTTATGTCAAGTCATATTTCTAATTATTATTCAAATAAAAAAACGTGCTCGTACGCGTTAGAATTTGTTGATTTAGCGCTTTACCAGTTGGCACGAATTTAAAAACTCCACACTCGTGATCTCAATTTATTCGGAATACAAATGCTTTTTTGTTCGAGAACTCCGTCGTACCTACCGTCGATTTCTAGCATCGTGGACGCAAGCCCTTACACACTGCGAACGAAGAGGGAAAGTACTACGGATTCGTTTGGATTCAGCACAAAGGAGAAAGAGAGGAGAGAGCTCTAATGTGACATATTATGTAGAATGAAATTTTTATAATGCAATTTTTTTTTACGTAGAATGAAATTTCTATAATGAAATTTTTATCTTACAAAGATATGTATTATATACATGTACGCTTACATAATAGAATTGTAGAGGATGGTTTACACTTTTAAATATGTTCATTCGGAAAGGTTCTGGACGGATTTTGACGCAAAACGATCGCAAAACGAACCGCGTCTCGGATACGACGTTTGTCTCGATTGGTTTCACATGTTATTTTTGTATTGTTGTTGTTTGACGGTTTTTTGAAAGGCTGTCTTCTCGTGATTGACCTGTTGAGAGACAGGTGAGCAGAGTCTCGTCCTAGCAATCGAGTGAGGGACCGCGTCGAGTCCGTCCCGAGTTTCGCGTGCTTAGATCCTTCCTGATTCTGTGATTATTTCTGTACCTCTACACAATATCATTTCGCTCTACTCCGAGTGCGTAATGTTGTCGTATTCTAAGAGAAATAAACCTATTATTAAAAAAACATCTCACAGAATGTAACAAGTCATTTCGTGTCTTATAACCGTAAGAGTAGAAGAGGATTGATATAGAAACTACAATATTGCACTAAAAACAATGAGAAAATGATTGCACAGCAAAAACACATTCGAGCGCTACCCGATAGCGTTAATGAAAGAGCAATAGTGACTTGGGAAAAGAGAGCGCAAATCACGACATTGTTTTGTCTCGATTATAACGTTAGCGAGAAAAGAAAATATATACACAACCGGAGTGCTTCTTCGCACTTCGCAAACTCTCTTACCGTAACGAGACGAACGGAATAATAATTGACAAAAAAAAAAAAAGAGTAAATCAAAACGTTATTTTAATTAATTAGCAAAAGCCAATGTTATAGCAGTTGTGTATTTTGTCATCGCACACACGATAGCGATCCAGAAAGAAAAAAATGGAGAGAAAGCAGATATAAAAGTTGACGTCAGTAGTGTACGCGAGCGTTTAATCCGACACGATAGAGACTCAGTGCGATGCGAGAGGCTTCTCCATTCGAATCAATACAGCACACACACTTGTACAAATACTCACGTAATTCGCGGACGTACATATGTAATACACGATATAGTAATACGATACACCGTATTAAGTTACAAGTGAAAAAATATAGATATTTTGCAATTTCCCAATTTGCGCATTATTTCTCTCAATTCTACGTCTCTTCTTCTTATTTTTTCTTAACCTCGCATCTTACAAATACAAATTAATGAGTATGTAATTAATGGTAGCTTATGGAAAGTAGATTAGTATCTCATCTACTCCATTCTAAAGTGTTCGGTTTATCTTCTTCCTCTTGCTTTTTCTTCTCCTCCTCCTCTCCTCTTTCTTTTCCTTCTCTCTCTCTCTCTCTCTCTCTCTTTCTCCTCTCTCTCTCCTCTCTCTATCTGTCTCTGTCTGTCTATCTATCCCTATCTGTCTATCTGTCTGTCTGTCAGCCTGTCTCATATCTCGTGTGCTTTTGCAAATGTCCTGGAAATGGAAAGGACGCTTCTCAGATCGATTCGGAGATTGGAACAGTTCATCGACATCTCGATTGGCGCTCAGCCATGATTTCATGATACATACGACTATATAACACATCTTCGGATATTATCTTTGATATTATTTGATTTAGAAAACTTTGTTTTTTTATCAAATAAAATTTGTTTCATTAAAATCTCTAGAATGAGGAACAAAACAGACGCAGAATCATTTGTTCTGTGACAGTGACTCTTTTGGGTTTCGACGAGATCATTTATAAGGAGAAGAAAACATTTGAGAGAAGACAATTTTGTGATTAGTGATAAAATGTTTTTGTTTTCGCTCGTGTTATACGTAGCGGTATCGATGCAAATTTATGTAAATGCTTTCGCCTGAATAGCACAAAATCACCGATTCGGAGTGGACAGAGGTTTGGCATTATATACGCGGTTTGTAACCGACTGCACTGTGTGTACACACGCATTCACGTACAAAAGCTACAGGGCCGCATCTACTATTTTCTATATATTTATAATTTTTTTTTCAACAAATATTCACGTAACTATTTGATACATAATGTAGATAAAACATAGCCATTGTGCCAGATATATCCTCCTACAAATATTACACACGTATTGTTTCCAAGTTGTACGACCAAGCAACTGTGACAAAGAGACAATTGTATAAAATTCCAGAAAGTGTAAAGAAAGAGGAACTTCGTCAATAATAATACAAAAACAGTAACAATCATGGCGTTAATTTATAGCAATACGTAAACGAATTTAATATTATTATAATTGATTTTCTTGATGGATAATTTATTTTACTTTTTTTACAATTGATTTTCTTACTGTTCGGTAAGAAAATATTGCACAGACTTTGCATGCACTTTCTTTCGGTAAAGAGAAACTACAGCCCTGCAACTAGAAGCTACGAGGCTGTATTTACGGATATGTCCTCGTGACGGGGTGGCGATTTCAACCTCGTTAATATTTGCCAAGGTGTGATCATATATCTGTGTATAGGGTGTTTACGCATGTGCATATGTATGTACGCGTGTGTCTAATTAATTAATCGAAATGGGCACCAACACACTGGAACGCAGATCCCGACGTCGCAGATTGGAAGAATTCTAATTTATTACGCGTAACGTACGCGCGCACGCGTGTGTGTATGTGCGTGCATGCAATCAAAATTCGTTAAGGCATCTGAATACTCATTTCAACCATAATGAATTATAACGTCAGAAGCGAGAATTAAATTTTTGTCTTGCTCACATCAAGAGAGAAATATAAGCTAGTTTTTTCCTTCCGCGATATTCAGAAGCACACATAAATTCGTAAAATTCTTCGAAAACTTTTTTTTTTCGGCTTACATATGTACATACAAATCTTGTCACATAAGGGCTATTTTTTCTAAACATTACATCATATGTATATAGAATTACACACGCTTTCAAGTTAATGTAAAATAAAAAAGAATAAAGTTTCTTGAAAATTTAATTAATTTATGCTTTTGAATACGGGCAGTGATTTGTAGAAAAAAGTTATTTCGATGTAAGTTGCAAAAATTTATTTTTTCTTTTTTAAATAAAATATATCTAAAATAATATACATACACATTGAACGAACAATTTCAGGTGGCTTTCTTGGTGACATTGCGTTGCCAAATATCAAATACGATACCGAATGGCGCGAACAAAAATTAAATAAAACATATCTGGAAGAATTGAATAAATACAGAGAGGAGATATTAAATGAAGGTCTTCAAGTAGAGGAAGAAGGTCTTACAGGTGAAT